TAATGAATCGAGGAGACGATGAAAACGCATTGTGCTTCGAGTCTGCTCGCATTGCCGATGAGCAAAAGAGAAAGAGAAAGAGAGAGAGAGAAATGAAGGGAGAAGAAAGAGAGAAAAAGGTAGCATATGAGTTTCAAGTGAATTAATCCGGAAACAGAGACGAGGACAACGCGTCAGTTCGGAACTCTTTTTCGACGTCGCGCTCCGACACTGAAATCCGCGATTCAAGCGATTCTTCGCTTTGAACTGATGTTGCAAATGTCACGGGAAATTTATCTGAGAATATTTCATGAGATCGTTCGTACGGCAGCACAGTGCACGTTGTGCGCCAACGCGCGCCACCTCAAAACGCCGCTGCTTCAGACTTTGCTCTAAAAAGAGAGGCGAATAATGGAAATAATTTTTTGAAAAATAGGTTGGAAAAACCTGCAAAAAGAAAACTCTCGCATGTTTCATCGAAAAATTCTTTTTTTCCGCTACATAATCGATGGACGAATTTATCGTGCGCTCTAGAGGAGAATTTATGCGCGGGTAAGAAAAGAATAATGAATATAATATTAATGCGATGAGAGAGAGAGAGAGAGAGAGAGAGAGAGAGAGAGAGAGAGAGAGAAGTGTAGTAATTAAATTTTAGCAGCCAGAGACGGTTTTTTCATGACCAGATAAAATAGTGACACCGATTCAGGGACGCGCATTTAATTCTAAATATTTTTTTTGTAGTTTTTATCTTTAAATATGAATATTTAAATATCAGAACAATCCCACAAAGCAGGTTTTTTTATTTTTTAAAAATACAATACTTTAACGCCGGTTTCGAACGGCTAATATAGAAAGATGTTGGCAAAGATATTCTTGCTGGTTTTGCGGGTTGCCTAGCAAGAGGAGACGAGTATTTCGATTGAAAAAAATTTCGAGTTCCGTGGGAGATCAAACCCGAACCTCCGGCGCAGTATAGGCCAGTGCGCTGCCTTCTCTACACCTACCGCTCTCGCACTCGAATATTCGTGATACTCGTGGAAAGCGTTTTCACGTGCGAGATCGTTGTTGTACTCCGGCAGCCTGGAGGTCACGATCGGGCGTATGACGGATAAAAAAAGTTCGTTGAGAATTCAAGAAGCGCCCGTAGGGATACAAGTCCGTGATCGTTTTCAGAAGAGTCCGCCCATCGGTCGTCGTTTGGGATGTGCCTCACGTGGCGGCAAATCGCGCGCCCGTCGCGCACATAGAATCGGAGCCGAGGCTGACGCGAGAAAGCGCAATTAATAATTCGTAGGACGGGGAAAGTTGAAGCCGAGGATACGCGGGGCCGCGGCGGCTATCTTCCTCTGACAATGGCGGTGGCGGAATAGTAGTAGTAACGCGACGAAATGAATAGCGGTTAGAGTCGCGAAGCGGGCCACAGGGACGAGAGAGGCCGGATCGTTAGGAGTCTTACGCAAGTTAAGTCCGTTTCAGCTTCGCGCAATTCAGCCTCGTGACGTCCGCTTCTCTCCAATTAGATCGCGCCACGTCGATTACGTCCGCTAACGAGGGATTAAATTTAAAAGCGCGTATATAGCTTTGCAGCTCACGGGGATGATGACGACGAAATTACTGTTCCTGGAACTAACCCATTTGGAAATTGTCCGGATTCCATGGGCCTCATTAATTCGATTACGCGATAAATCGTCTCCGGCGCGGGGCCACAATTGCCGTTTTTCAGGGATTAGTCCGTGTGTGTTTGTGAAAAGAAGAAAGAATAGAAAAGAATGGCCGTTCCCGAGAACTATAACGTAGTCTACTGTAATATCGAACGACGACGACGCGAGAAATTTATACGAGAACATTTCCTGGGTACAGTCTTGGTCAAAACATGGCGCGCGAGCGCTGCCGCCACTCCGAGAAACGTCATCATTCGAGGATCTGCACCTCTATGCGATAATTTGGCCGAGTGAATACTTCCATTGCATCAGTGAATAAATATATAGAGCCGTGCTTTCGTCAAAAGTATGGAATGAGCACGAGATGTGTCAGATGTCAAAATTTTTAGTCGGTCTGGTGGCCGTTCTATTTCACTACACGTGAGGAGCAACCTTTAATCCATTTCCCGTGAACTGATACTGCAACATCACGCCGAGAGATTTAGCTGAGAACATTTCCTGGACGTTGCTTCGACGATAACACAGTGACGTACGATGTGCTCCAACGTGAGCGCTCGTGTCACTCCGTCATCGTTCGAACATTTGTACTTTTATTCGGTTATTCAGCTGTACCAAAATGTTCTTTGTCATCGGAACGGACGTGTAAAACAGCGCTTTCATCGAAAGTAGCAAATACGCGGAGCATAAAATCGTCGGTCGTCCAAATGCGCCCACTCGTGTTTCTCGACACGCGATCGCTCGAGCACGTTGGGCAGAAACTCGATTAATTCAACTGCGATTTCCGCGCGCGCATCTCGTGTTCCTCGATAAAATTAACCATTACTCGCGAGTTAACGCAGAAATTTCTACTCACGTGATTACTACTTTCATTCGTACCTTCATATTATTGATATTATTAATGCTATTGATATTTTAACTGCATATCGTCTTATAATTTTTATATTTAATCGTATTATAATTTAATTACATTGCCATTAATATTTTAACTATATTGTCTCGCGAGTTACTCCGCCACGGGTACGTTGGATACCGACATAACACAGCTTTTGGATTTTGCGTTCTTCTATCTGTTTGTACACTGAGAAAAAAATATGTAAACAATACAAAAAATATTACAATACATAAAGTATTTATTCGTATGCAAAGACGTTTTTTCCTTGCCGTGGAACTCGCCTTAGTTGCATTCTTTTTATGAGGAGTATCACGAATATTCGAGTGCAAGCGATATAGTATAGACAGTACGCTGATCTATACTGTCCTAGATTCGATTCCTGACAGAACAGAAAATTTTTTTCATATTTTTTCTTCTTGGTAAGCAACCCGCAAAACCAGCAACAGTATTTTTGTTAAAAATAAAAAAAATATCTATCTAAATTCTTTTATTTGAACAGAATAAACAAGTGTTTTTACGAAAAGATAAGATTTTCAGAAAATCTATATTTTTTTGTTTGAGAATATCTCGTAGTAGAGTACAAGTGAATATGTTATTACATATTATAGCACTCAACAAATAGATACTCTTTGTCCCTTAATATTTCTTCTCTCAGCGTATAGAATCGCGAATGTTTATTCGCCGTGGAAGTACAGATGTCAATGTATAGCGGAATACATCATGTTATATAAAAACAGAAAAATTTTGCAAATAGAAATGTCTTTAAATTTGTTGTACAATAGCGAATACTCTGCCATTCATTAATATTTGTATTTTCACTCTGCATGATTTGCAATTCTATAATATAATCGAATAGAAGAACAGTGCAAAATATGTCAGGCATTATGTCGCTAACTGGCGTCCTCTTAAGTTCCGAAGTCCGCGGTGAGATGTCAGAAAGCCCACCCATCCCGCAGTCCCGCGGTGCAAACATCGGGCCGTCGCGACGACAGGGGGGAAACAATTCTTTATCCCGCGAGCGAATAACCCTTGCCGTCCGTCGCGCGCGCGTTCTGTTATGAATTACAAGGTACCGGCTACCTTCGTGGAATTCACTCTCGTCGCCGATGTGGCGAACGTCTCTCTTCGCCATTCATACGTGTGCGGAATCATTGACTGCGCGACCACGCTACGTGACGCGACGGCGTCGATGACAAGACGAGGGAGTAAGGAGGTGCAGGATATGCGGCACAAGGAGGAGAGTTCGGTTCTCCTCCAGTGGCGGAGGTGTTACGGGATTTCGAAAGAACGCGCGCTCGTGCAGGGCCACTTCGAAAAGACGCGACGCGCAATTTCGCATTCTGTCACAGACGACGGGAACATTCGAAAAAGCACCAACTGCTCTGCTCTCCTCTCTCTCTCTCTCTCTCTGTCGTTCTCTCAATGTCTCTCTAACAGACTCTCGCTTGCGGTTTCGGTACACCGGCTAGAGAACGACCAATCACGTGGCCGGCGCGGCACGACTTGGCGCCGCGGGACGTATTACATCGTGTTCGTGTGGAAGAGGCAGGACAGTGGCCCTACGAGGACATTCTGATCCCACTTTTATACGGAATGTCTCTCGCACAGCGTGAGAATCGCACGGGAGGACACATTTCCCACGAAAAGTGTCGGGTGTTTTCTCCGTTTATGGTTCTATTAAAACCGCTTGCGCCGCTCAAAGTGGATAATTCCGTTTTATAACTCGTTATTACTTCGTCGATAACTGAGGTAGACGCATAAAAGACACATGTCGCCTTTTTTTCTAGATATCAAATAATTTTTTTTTAACCTGTTTCAATCTATTTCAACACTAAATCTAAACTTATCTAAAAAAATATGTAAAAGATAAAAAATATTTATTCGATGGATAATTAATAACATGTAATATTACTTAAATATTTCTAAATTGTCTTATCTAAAAGAAATAATTACTTTCATGAAAATCTAAGATTTTAAGGAAATGTATATTTTCTTATTTAAGCAATATTTTGTATTATAGTGTAAGTAAATGTTGTTCGCACTGAATAAATATTTTTTTTATTTTTTAGATATTTTTTCTCTTAATGTAGGAAAATTGATTTGTTTCATCTCTTATTCGAAAACTACCTGTGAAAAAGTATTTTTCTCATTTCTTTCCACATAGAAAAAAGAAATATTTTATCGCATCTCTTCTTCCCCTCATTTTTATCTCGTTCTGTTTCATATAACTTACTTATAAGATATAATTAAATGTGTAAGAAAATTGAAAGTTTCTAAAAAAAGAAAGAATGTACAGAAAGAATGTCAATAGGAAGTCAAGGAAAGAAGGTGCAGTATGGAATAATATTCTCGATTCTGTATCCTCAGCAATTGGATCATCATCAGTTAAAGCTTTCTATGCAATCAGTGGAATTTGTAGCGACAGCCGATGTACCAAGCGACAGTCAATTAGAATTTGTAATACTCACAATGGCCTGTTGATCGACTCCGTTCGGAGGTGGCGGCGGACTGAAGCTGGCCGCGGTCGGCGCGCCAGAGGCGGAGGGATGCGGTGCGCCCGCCGTGGGTGGAACTTGAGGTCCGCTAGGTGGTGGCTGTTGGGGTGCACCGGCGCTTTCCTCCTTCACCTGCACCGGCGGCGGTGGCTTCACGTCACCGGCCGCTCCTGCCGCCCCCACAACGCCCGCGACCCCGTTCACCGGCGGCGGGAAGACACCCGCACCGTAGGGCGCAGCCATCCCCGTCTGCACCATGTGCTGAAATGAGAGAATACGATTCCACGTGATTTTCACCTCGAGTGTTCCCGGACTTTATCTAGCTGTGAGCAGATATCTCGTCGGAGCGACGGTCGATGAAACGCAGTAGAAATTTCCCAAGCTTTTCTTAGATGCAGCATAGATTCCGACTAGAGTGCCCAAAATTAGATGTCTCACTATGATACCAATTGGGGATCTTATTCTTGTCGCAGACCTGGCTTCCCTATTTAGAATCGAAGCAGAAATGCTATAGAAACTCGCGCTTTTTTCTCAGTCGGTAATGTCAGTATACTTTTATGATATCAAATCTCGGAATACCATTTTTATATTTAATAATAGAATATAATAGATTTGTATTTAATAGAATAAAGTATCAAAACATGAAATATTTTTAAGATATTTTGAATATTTTACTGGATAATGAAGTTAATTGAAATGTCAACATGTTTTATGCAATTCTCATGGAAAATGAAGATCAGAAAAAATATTGGGTAAACTTTGTGTTTCCTCACTCAGAACTGCATGCTTAAATTTACTATAATTCTAATCAGAATCGGGATCTCAATTAGTTCCCGAGAAATTTTTTATATAGGTCATAGAATATGCAGGATATTCCGCGCAAATTCCTTTCTCTTGTCGTGGTATTGAAGGATCGCAAAAAGAGAGATACGCGATTTTGACGAGTACTCTTGTTAATTATAGTATAGCAGCGCGATTACGAATGAATCGCAGACTGTCAGTTGAAGGACGAGAATTGCGATGTAGATCTCCAAAAGCCGAATACCCCACTTGGAGTTTTACTGAGTCTTATTACACACTATATAAATATTAAATATGTAAATTGTTAGAGATTACTCGAGACCGTTGCATCGGTCAAAGCACTAATTAATTGACAAAATTCGGAGACTCGTTTGCGGTTCGCTGGCACACGGTGGAATTTTTGTATGAAGCAGCGTATGTGTCTTCACTTCCTCCGTCTTTCTCTCTTTGTGGTTCTACGAGGATTCAAGTAAGAGAGATGGAAAACAGGAAATTAATATGGCGTAGTGAACTCCATTAACCTTCATCAACATTTGCACTTCTCTCTTTCTCTCTCGCTTTCTCTTATCCGCTCGCACGAGACGAGAAGGACACACATTTTTACTGTCGCATCAACGTGCGCTTCGGTTTTTCCGACCTCCAAACAGTCTCCGGGCCGGTCTCTCCGGGGTCGTTAGAAACGAGGGATAATGGACGCGAAAATGGCGTTGCCAATTTTTCGTGGTGGCGTACCATTCGCCGTGACCGCGGGCAATCGCGCTACAAGAAAGATTTCTGGCAGCGTTCCATCGAAATGTCGTTGGTTGGATAATACCTCGGCGCGCGATCCTGCAACGGCAGCTGAAGATGAGACTTTTCATTTACGGCAGGAACGAACAGGAAACTAAACTTTCGAAAGCCGAGGGCGCCTTACTTCTAAAAGACTTGCTCGTTCTCTTCCGTAAAAATCGACGAACGTCAAGAACGAACGCGAATAGACCAAAGGAGTCTATTTATGAAAATTTCACAGGCATCGTTTCGACGAAAGTATGACGGCGCACGCGATGTGTCCAAACGTAAGCACCGCCGAGAAACGTCATCGCTCGGGCAGCATTTCCACGCGATAAATCAGTTGAATTAATATATTTGTTATTAGTCGAGTATAAAGCCTGACCTACAATGTGTTCTTTCGCTTTATCCCTTTCTGACTCAAACTAGAAAAAGACGCACACACTTTCACTAAAATTAATGAATATGCGGAATATACCGAGTATCCAAATGTTTCACGCGACTGTTTTGTTTTACATTTCAAGCAATACATCCATATCCATCTCTCGTGAACTGAACGCAATGTTACGCTGAGAAATCAGACTGAGAAAATTTCCTAAGCACGGAAATCTGGACCACTCTGACGTGAGTGCCTTTGGTCCATCCTAAGACGTCATCACATATCCGAGAATTAATTGGACGTTCAATTTCAACGAATGAAGACGCAAAAATTCGACATTAATCGATAATAACCCGCATCGAGAAAATCGATCACCGCAAACCGGTGGAATAATATAGATTAATCGCGATTTGACGACGCTCTCTGCTTCACTCTACGGCGTGACGTAGAAGTTTAAATGAAGAAGGACAATTTGATGGAACGAGTGAGACGGTGGATCCGCGAGCGACGGCGAACGATTTACCATGGACAGCGGAGGGTAACTATAATTTATGGTTCGCCCCCGGGCCGTGTGCCATCCACAATCTCGCGCGAGGCAGGTTACAGATGGTTTGTCCAGTTCTCCCTTCTTCCCAGATTATTTCTGGGACGCCCCTTCGACGTAGCTCGCTCCGTGGCCGGGCGGGGCGAACTCGGCGAGGGTTATTTGTTATTCCCACCTTGAACATTTTTCTGAAAACTCGATTTAGACCGGATTTCGCCGATACCGCGTGCGCGTGTGCGAGCGAACGTAGATGAGGTCTCACGACGTTGCTCTTTGTTAAGTCTGAGAAATGAAGGGATCTCGGTCTCTCAGCAATTACGGGAAATCCGACGAAGCGTCCGTCGAAAAGACAATTTCTGCCACGGTTGATTGCGATACGTACTCCTGCCCGAACGACCGATTAATTAAAATGTTTTACATGAGCCTTTAAACAGCGGGAGTGTCAGGCAAGTCAGCGTGTCAAACTTGGAAATTAATTTCCAGAATGGACAAGAGCAATAAGTGCGAAACTACAAAAATTGATTAGTCAACAGTTATACTGCGAGAGAGAAAAGATGTCTATAAAATAAAAAAAAAAGGAGATTTACTCGGTGAGTACTGGCGACAATTTCGGCGACTCAATCCTTTACTTTGCGATGTTGCTTTCGAGCAACATCCCCGAGTAAAGGGTTGCACTTAATAGATAGATAGATTCGAATTCAATTTTTAATATTGGAAAAATAACAGTATAAAGGAATTGATTAATTAATTTATTGATTGCCAGGAGGATCTCATTAGCTATACTATATTACCGCGTCTTATTAATTTCCATACAAAACCGCAATAACCAACCGTATATAACAAATTAAATAAATAACGAATTAAATAGGTAGCAAGTGAAACGAGCTAAAACGAATGCATGCGGCATGAATTGTGCTTGTACAATCGTCCCTTTGTTTATTCGAAGTTCAGTTGAGCTTCCAAAAATAATCAATAGAAGTCAGAGCGCGGAAATCAACGTGACAACAGAGTCGAAGTTTATATAAAAATATCGAAAACAACGGATTTAAAAATGGAGTTGACACGATTTTTCGTCCCGAGATGTTGCTACAAACCGCTCGCGCGTGATGGGAAATACCACGCGGAATCAACGATCATCGAATCGTCTTCGAATGCCTCTCTCTTATTCGTGATCCGACGGGATAAAATATTATCCCGTCGGATAATATATATCGAACACGCCGAATTCCTCCGTCGTAATTCAATTCACGGCGAAAATATTCAATCGCGCCGATACACACGCGAAATCCAATCGTACCTTCAAATTCCGTAGCACGAAGCCAATTTTTGTCCGTCGGGATTCGATTATATAGGACACACGGGGCGAATAAAATTCTAATAAAACCGCGAGGGGCGCCGCCGTTACACCGCTCGCCGCTCTCTCGCCCTGTCCCTCTCGGAAGTCCGATCACGATCGCCGACTAACAAGGGTGATCCCGGCGATGTGAAGAGGCGCGAACGGAAAGAGCGCGAGCGCGACAGCGGCTGGAAAAAGGACCGGGAAATAATCCAAGAGGGAGTGAAACAGCATTTTCTCGCATTTTTGCTCGGGGGACGGTCTATGAAAAGACACGTGGAGCCAACGACCACCACGTGGAGGAAGAGGATTCCCTCTTAGTGCAAGAGCGAGCTCGACGTAACTTCGAACTGGAGATGAGAGGAGAGAGGAAGAGGGAAGACAGGAGCGCAGAGAGAGAGAGAGAGAGAGAGAGAGAGAGAGAGAACGACGGAAGTCGCTTCTGGCTCTATAGGAGTAGCAGCAGCAGTTTCCTCTTCGACTGCTCGCTATTCCGTGAGCGTGGCTTAATCAACGAAAGGGACAGGGCTGAGGGAAGGCGAGCGTACACAGCGGAGAACGTGATCCCGGAGCGACCTAATTTTCCCGCGCGGGAAATATATCTTCGGGTCGACTGACGTACGCGCGCGCGGCTTCCTTGCCGATCGTGAAGATGGAGGATCGCTGATTCGGATTAAAAACATGTTAATTTCGCTGGCGAAAAAGAGATAAAAGAAGGGAGAATGAGTGAGTGAGTGAGTGAATGAGTGAGTGAGAGTGAGAGAGAGAGAGAGAGAGAGAGAGAGAGAGAGAGAGAGAG